TTGGCGACTACTTATTCGCCAAATAGAAACGTATGCTTTTTTCGTAGTTAACTTTTACTGAAGGCAGTTCCACCATCCGCTATCGGCGGAGGTGCCGGGTAACTGACAGCTTAGCCGGTGGACAGACCCACCTTCCCCCGACGGATGTCAGGATGTGGATCATCCCTTGTGGGTCATACCGTATGGTAGGCAACGTCCATAGTCTTGCCCGGCCAGTGGGTGGAACCCACGGCTCTGGGAGAAGCTGCTCGACTGTAAATTCGCGAAAAATAACAATGCCTGTTGACCACACATCCAAACAGAGAGTCCGGCAAAACCTTCCCCCACAAGAAGGTAATCTATGGGGTGTCATAAGTGGGAGGTCCACGCACAATCCAGTACCACGTTAGATCCCTCCGAAGAGTTGTGTCAGATGCGTTTCCCGCCACCACTCTCCCGCTCTCCTCTCCGTCTTCGTCGTCGTCGTCATCATCACGACCACCACCACCACCACCACCACCACCACCACCACCACCACCACCACCACCACCACCACCACCACCAATGTTTGCACTTGTTGACTTTGCTTGTTCGTTTAAGAGATTTGAGAACGTCAATCTTGACGGGGACTTCATACACCCTCAGTCTGGTTCTCCGCCTGCCTCGCTGCTGAATCAACTGCACAGTCGGAATGGTTCAGAAGCTTGAAGACCCGGTTCCCTAGTTCTCGACTTGGCCTTTGGTGACAAGAATAACTTTTTTAATGGTGGTTTATCTGCTACAGCTGCGACCAAACCTAATCTGGCGGGCCTCGATGATGTCGCGGGTTGTACTTCTCCACGTGTGACGGTCTGCGGCAGATGATACGGATAACTTGACGTATTCTCTTCTTTAGCGGCGAAGACCAAGCACAGAAGGCCAAGGAACCACGTCCTAGTTTTAGCTAACTGTGGGGAGCCAGGTTTTGAATTGATCTTCGACACAGTTCCCTAGGCGAACAATGCTGCTCTGTATGGAACCCTAACTCTCCTAGTTCTGATAGGACTGTCGTCGATGGTCCGTTTCTGTTTATTTTTCAGAAATTACAGCTCGTTTATTTTGAATCTGAACTTCACAGATGGTCGTTCCACTACCCACCATCCGTGGTTCTACCGGATGGCCAGTGGCTAGAAATACAGGTGGACCCCGTCAAAGCTGTCTATCCTGTTGTATCATACGGCCTTATTTCTGGTTCTTAATTTTAAACTTGTTTCCTGGTTCACTTATTCGAAGATCCATTAGTAAGAAATCGGGAAATTGCCGGTCATAACAATTGGCAACTTCTCTTTCATCAGGGATTTCCAACTGGAGTCGCATGTGGGTCGTTTTCATGTTTTTCATTTTTGTTTCAGTCCCACTACTAATCTGAGCTCTTCGTGTTAAGGTTGTTCACACGCGTTTCCCTCATGCAACCAACTGATTCACGTGTGTTTGTGTGCGTGGGTATGTGTCTACGTAAGCATAACACGCCGTCTTGGCTGCATCGGGCTGTTTAGATTTGCAAGTCTTTGGCTTTGCTACGTGCATGTCGGGCTAACCAATCAGATTGTCCGCCAGAAAGCAATCTGCGACTCCGTATGGATCGAAGTCCTTCTGGGTCTTGCCACTGACACTGACCCCTTAGCACACTGCACTTGCAGACAAATCTCTTTGACACGTGGCTCGTCAGTTTTCTGAGAAAGCCTGAAGTCTCACCGCTTGGTAGATTTTATTCAAACAGAAAATTAAAAAAAGGAGCAAACCCGGTAACTGTCCTAGTTAAACATTCAGAAAGTTGTAGGGTTCGCTGGAGGAGATCGTCCTTGGGTACTTGCTCTAAGGTTCGAAGTGTCAATTGCGAGACGTCCCACTGAACACATTTCTTTTTATATCCGGTCGATAACAATGCCTGATTCCGATCGTTGGTGTGTGTGTATGCAGATTGGGGAGTCTTTTCTGTTGTAGAGTTTGCCACATTCGATATAAGGTATGTATACATAATCCTGCCCGGTTGTGGTTGGGATGGCGCACCGTTGATCTGATTGTACAGGGGAACGCTCGCTCTCCTTCTCTCTGGAGCCCTAGCAGGTGGTCGTGACGACAAACGACACCAGTAAAAGGACTGTCATTCGGCCACATGTCTGTTGCGATCGGACTCCACCGACATGATCATGGGAAAGAGCATAATCTTCCTATTCTTGCATTATCAAGGTACGGCTGGCTTGCAGTGATCGGCAAGCCGAAACTGATCACATCCTTCGTCTGCTTCGCTATCACAAAAACATCCCTCGCTGATGCCAAGGCACGCGTAGAACTGCGCCTGATATTTTGGAAGCTAGATTTACCGATTATGAGATTCCGCTTGTTAGAATGACTGCATCGTGGATAGAGCATTTTTCAGTTTGAAACAGGCATACACAGCAGAATTTATTGGAACCAACAGATTTCGCGACGACTTATCTATCAACTGTAACCTGTCGCTGCATGACAGAAGTAACGAATGAGAAAGATACAGAGATTTGAATTTCCACAGAAAAAAATCAATACAAAGCAACAGGGTCACCGTTTACTGTACACAGCCTTGTCAGTGAAAACGTTAACTTGAAAATACAATGTAGGAAAGGAAATGGGGAATCTAGCAGCCAAAGGGGCGTGTACATCTCTGTATCTTTCTCATCATGCGGCGACAGGTTTTAGTTGATAACCTGTTGCGAGATTTGTTGGTTCCAATAAATTCTGCTGTGTATGTCTGCTCCAAATTCGTATCGGGGGAATATTGCTTCACATTTTGCAGTTATTCATTCTTCAGCCGTGGATGATGGACAAAGTGCTTGCTTGACCGTCGCGAGCGACGACGTCCATCGCCGCGCTGTGCTTTCCTCACTCCCGCACACTCCCATCTTGTTCCAACAACCTGAGGTGGGCGTGGACGCAGTGGTTGAGAAATCTAAGCAGCTCATCTGTGCATACCACTCACAGCCTTATATCCTTCCACATGTGACATTTCGACGGTCGCAAACGACGGGACCTACCGTGTGTCTTGCAACGTGGCGGGCGCAGGGACGGTGACCTGCGCGTGAATTCGTTTGTAGTGATAGGAGACTTGCGCAGCATCTGCCATACTCTCTCACTCACCTGATCTCGCTGTCAAGACGATGCCAAGCGCACCGGAGGCGAGTCGGGCAGAAAGATTGACGAGGTTAAACAGGCCGCCTGCGTGTGCCGCACACAAGGGATCAGGGTTTCACACAAACAAGCGGCAGCTCCGATCCCAACTGAGTGGGAGTGCCGTCGAGGCCAAATTAAGGAGCAACTGCAGCGAACCGAGTTATCCCGTCAGTTGGCAGTCTTCCAAGGCACGGCTGTTGGCACACCGTGGTAGATTCAGGCGTGTCAGACTGCCTACAGTGAGGAATACGCTAGAGTGCCGTGTGGGTGGATTTTCCGGAGCTGATCTCTCCCCCCTCTCACAGGCATCAGTCAACTGTCCGAGTCGAGCACAAATGGCCTGTCCACGCGTACCACACGTAACCTGGCCCTCCACCCAACACCAGACAATAAAGGCGATCCGGGTTTCGCACAGAAGATGTTGCCATAAAGGTCGCACTAAGAAGGAAACATTGCAGTCTGGAGAAAAGCCGAGGTAGCATTGTAAGTCGGTAGCCTTCCAAGCTATGACTTTTATTGCGCCGTGTTAGGTTCTACCGCGTCAGGTTTAGCATTGTGAGGAATGAGCCGAGTTACCGCGAGCAAAGACTCCCCACTGTCGACCTCACTTCTCCTTACTTCTCCCATGTGCCGAGCCTGTAAAACAACTGACACTTTGAGTAGAAGTAGAAGCGATCGCCGGAATAAGGGCTTTATTCACCTGACTTTTCGGATTCTCACATGAGCCCATCATCAGTGACAGTGACAGAAACGGGCCAAGTTATATGGCACTCTGTCTAGCACTGTCTGATCCTCAGTTGTGAGAAGGATTGAGTTACCCCGTCAATTGGCAACCCTCCAAACCACAGGTCCCAGCAACTTGCAAAGGACTAAATGTAGTTAATAGCATCTCACGAATTCCGCGGAATCGACGGACAGCCGCGGTCCAAAGCGGTAATAATGGGTATTGATGCTTGGTGTAGCAATTTGACTCCTTTTGACCACTCTCTTCGCACTACCAATCAGAGGTGACGACGAGGAGTACACGTTTGTAGTTGTTCAGACTTTCACTGCAAATAATTCTTAAAAACTCCCTAGATGCACGAGTCGGCGTCGTAGATCGCCTACTAGCCTATCTGCGGGCTACCTGGTGGGCGCGCGTAGGCGGCTGGAAAGGTCGTCATCGGAGGCTTTCGGACCGGATGACAGTTCGACCGTCGATTTTGACCATGTCCACCGTCCGCTTCACATTAGGGAGAGAGCAGAAACTGTGACTTGTGCGTGAATTAGATTATATTGATATTAAATTTGCTCAGCACCTCCTCCACCGCCTGGGTCCTGCGCCAAGACATAATCAAGAAGACCGGAGGCGGGAGAGGACTCAAGTGGCTGGTGCGGCGTAAACCCACACCTAGGTCCGCAGCGTACACTGACCGGGATTTTTCATAACAAGGAAGAACAGGATTGCTTGGACCCTACTGGGTGGGAGTGCCATAAGGGCTCTGTCTTGAAGGAGCCATGGCAGCCTGCCTCTCAGTCAACCAGTTCGCCACTCAACGCACAAACTCAGTGAACTGGCCGCGAGGTCCGAATTATCCTGTCAGTTGACAGCCTTCCAAGCTACGGCTTTTAGCGCACCGCGATTGATTCAAACGCGTCAGATTGTTTGTGGTGAGGAAAATTCGCTGAGACCGTCGGCCTCACTCTCCCCATTCCCTGGCTCCAGCCGCTGTCCAAGCCGGTCAGTTGTCTGTTTCGGGGGATGGGCACAGTGGCTGACATGGTTAGTGATCCCTTCTGTGCGTACCACACATCCGACCTGGCCCCCCAAACACGGACGCCAAGATTTTACACGCAAAGAGGTAGAACGCTCGAATCCCAGATGCAGAAGAAGAGCCACGCGGAGAAGGGATTCGAAAAGCACACTCCTCACTGGCGTGAGAGGTGTCAACAATGTGGGATGTTGGAGGAGTGCGTGTGTTGACGGGGGAATGTGTGGTGATGTGGCCGTTTCTGCGATGATTTACCGCAGGTTTTACTTAACGCGCATGTGACCAAGAAGGCCTATGCGGTGGGTGAATGTGTGTGTGTGTGTGGGCAGCATGGACAGTTGAGGCGAGTGCGGTAGGTGTGTGTTTGCGCTTCTGACACCGGTTCGGCGGTCACTGTGCGCTGAACGCGTAAGTGACTGACCAGGCCGATACGTGAGGTGAATGCGCTATCGCAGTATGGACAAGCTGGGCTCGAGTCCCCATTGCGGGCGGTGGGAAATCGGAGTCTCTGACCGTGTTAAGGCAGTTCCCGCGGGATGTAAAAGGTTGCGGTGTGACACTACCCCCAATTATGTCGCCACTATATACGATCCAAGGGTTGCAGACTACCGCCAGGATTCCGCGAGGCCGCAGTCAGTACGGGCCTACTAAGTCTCTGTCCGTCGGAAACACCACCCTCAGACGGCCGGTAGCCTTTA